ACCATTGCTCGATAACCAATGCTGATCCCCCTCCAGTAAGGAACGACCCATCAAAACTGTCATCTCATCTCGTCACCCCAATGTCTCCACATCAATGAAGTATCTCAAACTGCCATGAGCTCGGCAAAAATGCAAGAAAGAACCCCTACCAAAGCTAGAACGACGGGTTATCTTTCTTCCAATACACTTCTTCCAATTGTTGTTGACTTCTAGGACTTCACACCAACGGGACCTAGTTGTAATCCGCTAATGTCTAGAACAATCCCCAACTATGGAAACCAAATACCGATTACCTCCCAATGATGCCTCCTTGGAAGGCCCCCAAATACCTAACTGAGCACCACCTAAAAGACCCCTCGATCGATGAATAGAAGTGCCAAACTCCACCTCAGTCTTCTTGCTCATACCAATATGCTCAAAGGACTTCAATCTGCAGGTCAAAGCACTCCTTAACAAACCATGCACGGGATAACTAATCAAATAACCTAGTCTCAACAAATGCCACAGTCTAGCCTAATCCAAAGAAGTCATCAGCTCTCTATCAAACACCGTGCTCCTAATCAAATAATACAAATTATTCCTCCTGACGTCCTTCATCACAATCATGGACCCCAATGTGACCTTCAAACATGAATCAACCAAGGTCACCCTATAACCTACTGCCTCCAAAACTCCAAGTGAAATGATGTTCTTCTTCAACTGAGGAACAAACCTCACTCCAACCAACTCTTGAATCACTCCATCACTTATCCTAATCCGAACGGTAGCGATACCACCAATAGGACATTTATGATCATTATCCATGAGCATGACCTCCTCTCTTTCCAACTCCTGAAAGCTGGAGAACTAATCCTTCCTAGGGCAAATATGGTAAGAAGCACCCGAATCCAACATCCACTCTGTAGATTCGGTAACACAAACTGACGGTAGTTCAGATAACGAGTAGCCCGAAGAATCTAAATCTGAATTATTGCCACTAGCCTTGACAACATTCACCTCTGAAGCTTGAATAGTTTTTTTCTTATTCTTCCCGACTCGATCAACCAACTTTGGGCATTCGGCTTTCCAATGTCCATCCTCTTTACAAAAGACACACTGTGATAATCACATTTTATTACAATTTTATACCCTCATTATCTATTTTATATGAATAAATATACCACTAATAATTGTTTTTATCTTTTAATTGCAGATTAATGAAGAATAAATCTCAACTTCCCATCTCTCAACCAAAAACCAATTGATTAAATGAAAAAATGATTCAAGAAGCCAAAGTGAAATTTTCGACTTTTTGAAGGCCCAAAGCAAAAAGATTACACCAAGGGAAATGGAGACCGGCTGCTGGAGGTTCATTTTGAAAAGCAAAAGGATCTGTGGACTTGATTGCTTAATTTTCGGTTTTTGAAAATGAATTGGATGTTGATTTACACCGGATGCTGACTTTGGTTGCTGCTTGAAGACCGGACTGAAGAAGAATTGATTGGGCCGAAAATGAACTCTCCAATGGGCCAAGGACCTGCTGCAATAAATGGATTTCATGACTTGCTCAAATAAAAGCATTGGATTTTATGCAATAGGAACCGGACCTTGCTGCTGTGATTTAATTTTGAAAATCAACTTCATGGACCGATTGGACTTTGGACTTGGATGATATTCATTTTCTTTTAAAAATCATTGTGTGCAAGGGCCCTGCTGCAGTGGACCGAAAATGGGCTGAAGAGAATTGATTTTGAAAATCAAATGGAGACTTGATTGCTTGCTGCTCATTTCAGTTTTGGAAATGAAATGGGAAAATCAAAGGAGCTCTCATGGACCTGCTACAGTGGACCAAACTTGGACTTGGGCTGCAAGGCCGGATTTGTTTTGGATTTGAAAATCAATGTGGAATGCCATTGGACCGGATGCTTTGGACTGGTATTGGGCTGCAGAGTTGGACTTCCATTTTCCGAAAATCAAATGCCATTGTGTTGCTGCACCTTTGATTTTCATTAGACTTAGATTTTAACATCTATGGGCCGAAATTCGAGAGTTGGATTTTAATTCCGAAAATCAAATGCCATGGACTTGGGCTGCAAACTTTGATTTGAAAATCATTGTGTGGGCATTTTGCATTGGACTAGGCTTTTGCAATTGGATTTTGAATTTCTTTTGAAAATCAAATAAATCAAAGGTGGAGATTGTTGCTTGGGGCTCAAGACAAATCCAATGGCTCATATTCATTGAAGATTACTATAAATAGGGGTAGAGAGTGAGGGGTTAGGGGTGTGAAAATTTTTATAACTCCTTATGGAAAGGAGGGCTACTCTTAATTGAGAAGGCCTTCCAAAATTGTAACTTTAGTTGCAATTAATAATAAATAATTTTTTCCTCTTTAAATTTGTTCTTTCTCCTCTTGTTGAATGATGAGGATGGAGATGAAGAGCAATTTGAAGGTTTGCATTTCTTTTCTCTTTTATTTCTTTTTAGTAATTTCTTTATTATTGCTTATTAGTTAGATTTAAATTCATGCTTGTAGTATAGATTTACTTTCTTGTCTTTTTTATTTTCTTTTTGCACTTTAATTTGTAGAGTAGATTTATTTTTCTTGCATTTAATTTCTGCAATTTATTTTGTAGTTTAGATTTTTATTTTCTTTGTAATTAGATTTATTTCTTGTTCATAGTTTAGATTTTTCTTTTCTTTTTAATTTTGTAATTAGTCTTCTTTTTCTTGTTTTTATTTCTTAAGATGTGAATTTAATTCTTGTAGGAATCTTAGAATTGTATGAAACTAGTCTAATTTCTTTTATATTGTATGAATTATTCTTCTTAAATACTATAACTTGACACGGTTGTGCACTTGCAATTTTTTTTGGTACATGTTTATGCCGCATCACACTGATTCCTACGAACTCTAAGATTTGCCCTTCTAGACTGCGACCTCCTACCACGGTTTGGACTCTTTATTCTTGCAACCAATGCTCCCACTACCGGCTCAACTGAAATCTCATTATCCTTCTTTCGAAGCTGATAATTCACAAGTGCAGCGGTGACCTCACTATAAGAAAGAGATGTCTTCCCATTAATAAGAGTAAGAATGAAGGTCTCATATTCCTCGTCAGGTAAGGAACTCAACAACAACAACGCATTGTCCTCATCTTCAATCATCACATCTACATTCGCCAAATCCGTAAGAAGCTTCGTGTAGTGGTTCATGTGATCACCAATGGAGGTCCCCTTCTTCAATTGGAAGCGATAAAACCTCCTCTTCAATACTTGCCCTCTAGGATCTTTCAAATCTTCTTAGCCGAATTCTCATTGATCACATCATATTTTAAATCTTGAGTCAAACAAGATCTAATCACACCACACACCGTTCTATTCATCTTTTTCCAAACCTTCTCCTCAATGTCGTCCGATTTCCCGTCCAACTCCAAAGTATCTTCCAAATTTTACGCATTGAGCACATCCAAGACTTCACATATCCAAAAACCAAAATTGTTTGTGTCATTAAACTTCTCCACATCTATCTTCATAGAGTGGATATTCAAACTTTGGACGGTCTTCACGCCGGAAGTACCCTCCACAACTCCTTCTTTCCCGACCATTTTTCTTAAAGCATCAAAACAAATACGGAACAAATGAAGAATAGATCCAAAACTGAAAAAGATAGAGTCTTTACCAAAAAGATCCTATATTTATCACCAAACGAAGCCCTAAGCAAGCTTCCAAAACGACCTACTCCTCCAAATAGCCCAAGCGTAGCTCGAGCTCTAATACCACTTGTTGAGCGCTATGGAAGCCAAACAACCAAACCAATATGCTACGAGAAATCAAATCAAACGAACGTCGAGAGAAGGCCAAACGAACCAAATCAATGCCACAAATACAAACAACCAATTTTAATGTGGTTCGGCAAGTTGCCTACGTCCACGGGGCAAGAAGGGGATAGGGTTTTTCACTAATAGAGAAAAAGAGTACAAACTGAGATTACAAATCACTCAAACTCACCAATTAATCTCACCAACAAATCTCTAATTCTCTCCAAACGAAACCCTAACCAATAGCTCAGAAAATACCCCTTTTATGTGTTCTAAATATCCCCAATTTTCTTCTCAATTCTCTCTTCCAATTGTTCCATATATATAGAAATCCTAAAATCATAAACATATTAGGAATTCTAAAACAAAAAACAAAACAGATTAGGAATCCTAATAACCTGTTATCAAAACAGATTTGGAATCGAATCCTAATAACCTGTTATCAAAACAGATTTGGAATCATGTTACCAAAACATATTAGGAATCCCAATAATCTGTTACCAAAAATAAATTAGGAAATATATTAGGAATCTGCTATCCAACATAAACTCTATACAAAAGTGCATCTACATAGAAGGGGATGACCTGGAGATACGACCTGTTCTTTGTTCAATCATGATCATCTTGCTATTGAGCGCGTTTTCAATTTGAGAATATGGGATCACTTTAATTTATATCTGAATGGCAATAGCTAGCCAAATCCAGAGGAAACTTTTTAATGCCAAGGAGAACCAAACTTTTTAATGTCACTTTAATTTATATGCGTAGAAGAACACACAATTCCGAGTTATCGAGTTATGGAAGTATCAGAAGATCAGATGAAACTATAAGAGATGCTGAGATGTTGAATGATGATCATGAAGAATGAAGCCTTTAGCTTGATCAATCTTTTGCTGTTTTTCTGTTTTTATTTTTATTTTTTGAGGAGTTCTTTGTTCAGACTGCTCGCTTAAGCAGATGAACTTGTGATCGTTTTTGGAAATACACAAGAAGAAACACATAATTCAGAGATAATTACTGCACTAAAAAATATACTGCACTTGCATATAATACAAGAAGTTTATCCAAGGATTTTCTACTATACCGATGATTCAGTGAATATAAAAGGCAAATAGAAGCTCAAAACAAACGCCAAAAACCATTAAAGTTCAAGTACTTCAATTCTTAGTTGAAATATTACAGCAAGAAACACATGCGCATAGACATATGCTGCAATTGCATAGAATACTAGAAGTTTATGCCAAAGGCAAATCAAAGCTAACCCTGTCGAAACTTAAGCCTTAGTAAAGTTCAAGTACTCCTACGTCGAAAATATTACAGCAAGAAGAAAGACATGAGAATAGTAGACATACTTGCATATAATCCTAGGTTCCTACCTTGGATTTCCTACTGATCATTTCCTAATCTTTAATCAGTCTCTCGTGCTGCAGCACGGCAGATGCTAACCATCATAATGACGTCGCCCGAGTTTTGAAGACACTGGAAGAGGCAGGCATCCCCAAGTTGTAAGCTGTTGTCGACAACGAAGGACTCCCAGCAGAACCTCGCCATAGTGCTGTAAACGTAAAATTGGGAACGCCACTTCTTTCTTTGGTTAGGAAGTTGGAGGTAAATGGTGCAGTGTTTGGAAGGAAGGTGTGCTCTCTGGAATTTTATGGGGACATACTACAAAGAAAAAGGAGAAACAAGTGAAAGAAGCAATTGAAGTAATAGAGAACACTAACACCTATTATGTGTATTTATTTCCTTTAACTAAAGAAGCATTTACATAATTTATCAGGAAAAACAATGGCTAAATTTCAGAAAAACCCCTTAAATTTGCATGCTTATCAAATAAGCCCCTTGACTTTCAAAATCTCATAAAACCCCCCCTTAAGTTTAGTGCTTATTAGAAAACCCCCTTGAATTTCAACTTTTTTCAGAAAATCTCCTAAAGGCATGAACAACAATTCTCAGTGGCAAATACATCCTCTTGTGTAATTCTACACATGCATCCATGTGAAAATTGCATTTAACACTAATGGGAGGCTTTTATGATGAAATCTTATTCAAGGGGCATTTCGAATAACCCCAAAACTTAATGGGTGTCTCTTACATTTTGAAAGTTATGGGGGGTTATCTGATAAAGCTAAAGGGCGGTTTCTCAAATTTAGTAAAAAGTAACATACCATTTGCCATTGTAGAAAATACATTCAAAAAGAAAAAAAATCCATGATAAAGTGGAAATATAAACTATAAACATAGAAAACAGGCAAATGGAATGTACCATAAAACAAGCATTGTAGACACTGCCATATGGCAAAATTGAGATGAAACATGGATTTCTTGGTTTAACTGAGTGAACCAACAGCAATGCCAATTCTTCCTCTTCACGAGTTAAACTTCTCCTTTTCGATATATAAAAATTTGGACTTATAAGTTCCTCAAGGTTGTGCGCGTCAACAAATTCTTGCTTAATGTTGTGACCCATTCCTTCAGCATCGACATCCAGACCTAGATCATATGAGAGTTAAATAACATTAGAGATTGTTAATAATAAAAGTAAATAAAGAACAGAATATGTCAAAACTTCTAAGCCATCAACTGAAACAAAAATACTTTTATCCCTCAGTTTCTTTATTTTACAAATACCCTGTATTGGCAAGCAAAGTGGCTCACTGAGGTTGCAGTTCTTTTTCTTTGCATAACCATTCAGTTCACTGGTACCATAAATTGCTCTCTTACAATTCGACTTTACCCTTTGATACTTAGATGCTGGGTTTTCTTTTTCTCTAGAAATTTTTCGAGTAGTTGAAGAGTTACGCATAAACACTTTCCCATGAGATTTTGCATTCAAAACTTCCACAGAATCCTCACTTTTTTCTTCTTCACAATCACTTTCCATAAACAAATGGAAAGCTTCTTTCTTGCAATGATCTTTGCCAAAGATCGAAACATCGAAGGATTGATTTCCATCATACTTGAAAATCAAAAGGTCTCCGTCAGTTATATGGAGAGCTTCGACGAATTCCTTCCATCCAGATTGCAACAGTATTCCTTCATTGGTTTGTTTCAAACCAATGGGCCAAATGTTATCATCAGGGTCCTTGAGATCAACAGTTTCAGGAGTTTCTCCTCTAAAGTAATATGTGCATTTCTTTGGTATTTTCTGCAAATAGAAGCAATGGCATGATTCAATCAAACATAGCTAAATGTTGAGCATGAAACAATCCTTCTTTCAAAAGATAAATAAATGAGCTTACAAACATGATGATAGTTCATAGTAGCACTGCATAACTGGAGCAGATTGGGTAAGTATTGTTTCATGTTTCATTTAAAAGAGAATATCAAACACAATAATGTCAATCTTTTTAAATAATAATTAATGGTTTCAGGAGTTTCTCATCTAAAGTAATATGTGAATTTCTTTTGTATTCTCTGCAAATAGAAGCAATGATCGGTTTCAATCAAACAGAGCTAACTGTTGGCTTACAAAGTAATCCTTCTCTTCGAAGGGTAACCTACATAAGCACACTCAGACACACAAATATAGATGATGACCGTTCATAATAGCACTACATAACAGAAGTAGATTGGGTAAAATCTATTTCTTGTTGCATTTAAAAGGGAGTATCTGTTATTTTTTTTACTTTGAATTCAAAACTCACCAACCCTATTACTGTTTCACCAATCCAAAATACTGTTCCACCAACACTTTTAAAGGCTATAAATAGAGGAGAGTAGTGAAGGGTTAGAACATCGAACAGAGATCCAGAACAGAGAGAAAAAAAAAAGAGAGAGTTGAAGAGATTCACCAACCCAAAATACTGTTCCACCAACCCTTTTAAAGGCTATAAATAGAGGAGAGTGGTGAATGGTTAGAACATCGAACAGAGATCCAGAACAGAGAGAAAAAAAAGAGAGAGTTGAAGAGAAAAAGAAAAAAAGTGTTTTCTTTGAGTGCTCTCTTCTTTGTGTGAGTTTGGTGAGATATTAGAGTGATCTCCCTTTGTAATCTTCTCTTTTGTGATTAATGAAGTTCTATGTTGTTCTCGCCCATGGATGTAGGTCATATTAACCGAACCACGTTAAATCTTTTTGTGCTGTTCTTTTTGTCTTCCCTGTATTTATTTAGTATTGTTATTATCTACTTTTGTATAGACATCTTATGTGTCTGTGAAGCCCCCCGCTGTAATAAACTAGTATCAGAGTTTGGCTTAGGGCACCGAAGCTGTTCACGAGTACGGTTACTATTCACAAGTACGGTTATTGTTCACAACTACAGTTACTGTTCTAGTGGACTTCAAGATGTCTTCTGTAAAAATACAAAGTGAAGAAATTTGATGAGAGAAATTCGTTGGGTTGGCAACCCCGACTATTCTATCCCTTAGCCATTTTCCCACTTCGTTAACTCGGGGGGTGTAAACTCTCTGCTAGATGGTCGAGGTTGGGAGCCCGGAGCATTTCGAATTAGGCAGTTCGAAATGGTCGGGGTTCCCAATCCCAACCAATTTAAACATGCGCTTAATTAGTCGGTGTTTCGAACCCCGACTAATTTAGCTTGCAAATTGCCAGCACGTCCAAAATAGTCGGTTATGATCAATTCTATACTTGACTGCTTCAGAACCTTGTTACGCTTCTCAGTTGAAGGCAACCCAAAAAATTATATATATAACCAGGATCATTCATAATTATATAGAATAAAACGGGTAAACGTACGTGGTTCCTTTTTGCATTTCAAAAGAACATTTAAGCATCAAAAATTTATATTATGCTTATTAGAGAATACAACCATGCATGACCACAGCAACGTTGAGAATATAGTCATGATCACAGATTTACAGGCGTTTCATATAATCTCTACGCAATGGATCTAAAAATAAACAAACACAACAATGTCCATTTCTCTGAAATCATAGTACGCATGTGTGTTCAATATAACCTTGAGAGTGTAACATTATTTATTATCCCACCATGGTTCTGTAGATCTTGTTAAAATTCTTTTTATGTTATTATTATTTTTCTTTATTCTATATTTCCTCTCTGAGGTGATGAAAGTATAAAGTTACCAGGTGTTTAGAAAAATTTCCATGCATCAGCTCATAAAACTCCATTCGCTCGCCATTGAGATGCTCCAGGTAGTAGTGTTCTTTGTACTTGTTGCAGATCCCGCAATCTTTCTCCATGCTTCACACAAGTGATGTGAGAAGTATGAGTGAAGATGATCAGATTTTTTTTTTTTATTTACAGGGGAAGCGAAACATTTTGCGTTGGAGAGTGCGTGTGAGTTGTCACATCATTTGAAGAGACTTGACAAGCGTTAAAAGAGGCTTGCTTTCGGTTTGGTACCTTAATTAACACATACCCCGCTTATAGTTTCCTCTGCTTTGCACTAATGGGCTGTTTGGTTCGTTTTTTCAATCGGTGGAAAAGTTTTACACCGCTTTTACATTAGATTTTTCGTGATCACGTAGGATATAAGGTTTCCGTCGATTTTTTTTCTCATCTTTGGTTCGCTAGGGTTGAAGAAGGGAAACTCGGTGAAAATTACCGCCACATCAGATTTTTTTTCTCTCCTCCAATTCCTTCCTCAATCTCGTGAAATCGACGAAAACTACAGCCACGTCAGCTTTTTGCCATATAAACAAAAAATTTTCCTTTTTTTCCATGCGAACCAAACACAAGAAAAATAAATACATTGGTTTCCTACTATTTTTTTGTGCGAACCAAAGCGAAACAATCTATTTCTTGGAAAAGTTTGGAAAACTCAAAACATGTGTTTTTATACATGGAAATGCATTTCCCTATATCTAGGAAACGAACCAAACAGCCCCTAAATATACCCTCACTTGATTTGGCCAACACTTATTCATGTTTGAGTTATTATAATTTGCATTTTAGTATTTTCAGTTATACAAACGTAAATATATTCTTACAAAAATCTTTATGAAAACCCCACATGCTAATATTAGAACTTATTAATCAACATTTTTTGTTAATTTAACAGTAAATTTGACATGATGTAAGGCTTAAATTAATATTCTAAGTAATTAACACGTGAACATCACGTAGAAATTTATGGAAGAATAATCCTATTTTTGCATCATATAATGTATAAACTTTACGATATCCAAGTGTTGCCAAAATTAAGTAAAAGATTAATGTATATAAGTGCTAGTTAGGGAAAGCTATAAAGTATTAGAGTGCTAACTACCTCCCAAA